ACACACACACATAAAGGCTAATACTTGTATAGTTCTTTATAATTTAAGAACTTCCATACAATTCGTTCCTACACCCCTGCAAGGTTGGAATTACTATTAGTAACCTTATTTTGCGTGTGATAGGTCAAAGAATCAGGAATGACAGGTCACAGGCCCACAAAGCCAGCATGCTGAGGGGCTGGTGGGCTGCGTATCTCTAGGCCCAGCTGTGGCAAAGCCAAGGTTGACTGTTCTACCTCGAGCACAGGGTACCTACCTTCAGGGACCAGACTGTCAGGTGCATGTTGTGTGATAGTCCCATGGACGTCCTGATTTACAATCTGCTTCACCCCATTTTACAATGTAAATCGCCCCTCTTTGGAGAAACTTGAAGAACTTCTCCAATGCCATATCTATTTCATTAGCCATTTGATCTCACTTTCTGTAAATTTTCAGTATTACCTTTCTCTAATCATCATTATATGCACTAATCATCATTATATGCACAATCGTGTGTCTTTAATTCTTTTTGTCTTCTCTTGTTCTCTTTCCCTTTTTCTTTCCTTTTCTCTCATTCATTCATGAAATATTTATTGAACAAAGATTGGCACATGGCACCCATCTATCATATTTCTATTTGAAATTCATAAAAAGTTAGGCAGACATGGATCTTGACTTTAAGAAGCTTGTAGTTAGCAATCAGAATGGTGGGACTGAACTGAGCCTTTTTTAACATCTAAACATGTAAAAGTTCTGCATTGAAAAAGTCTTAAATATATAGCCTAGTTCAAAAAAGAAAGAAATAATAATAATAATAATAATAATAATAATAATGGTGCAAAAAGAGAGGATTCACAGACAGAGTGGTTGAACTTCGAGCTAAAGCCGCAGTTGGCCCACAGACCATTGGCTGTAGATAAACCCCTCAGAGTGGGTGTTGGAACACCAACAGGAACAGGAGACAAGGACAGAAACTCCAGCAAGGTCGGGGCCTGGTGCCCCCTACATAAGCCAGGGCTCTGCAGAGAGTTCTCTGTCTACTACCAAGCATGGTAAAACTCAACCTGCCAGCCAGCCACCCCAGGGACATGGCAAGGAAGCTGAAAGAAATGAGAAACACAGCCTGCACTGCATCAAGTGTGGAGCCTAAATTTTTGCAAGTCTCGCAGAAAGCATGTAAGCTGAGAAATTAGCATAAAAAGTGGTTCAGAAGAAATGAAATGTGTATACCCTTGAAAGTTATAAGTGGTAACACTTCCAGTAAGAGTCCCTCCCACAAGACACCGCCCCTGGGATTCACCCAGAAGACAAATATATGCCAATGCAATACGTGTTAGATATGCATATTAGCATCCCAAAAAAATTGATTAAAAACACCTGAAGAAACTATAACATAAATATGTTAAAAGTATTTAGAGATAAAATAGGTAAAGATATAATTTGGAGAAAAGAGATATAATAACCATAAAGTAAGAAGTGTCTTATGCACAATAACAGAAATGGTTGAGAAGGAACTAAATAGAGTATTTCTAGGCACCTAGACATGAAAAATATTGCCGTTATTATTAAAGCACTATAGACATTAAACAGATTAGACACAGAAAAAGAAAAAAAATAGAAAATAGATAAGATAAATAATATGAAAGGGAGGTTAACATGGAAGACAAAACGAGAAGGTCCAACACACTGCTAATAGCAGTTCAAAAAGGAAAAATAACATGAGTGGGGAAGAGGAGCTATTTAAAGAAGCAATGGCTAAGAACATTTCAGAACTGAAGAAATACCTACATCTTCAAATCAAGTAAGGACATTGAGTCCTGAGCAGGAGAAATGAAAATTTGTCTGCATCTGGGTACTTCATAATGAAACCACAAAGATCAGTTTTTTATTTCTTTTTAAGCTACCAAAGAGAACATGCAGGTTACCTGTAAAACAATGACAAATAGACTAAAAAGAAATTTTCCAAAAACAACGATAAAGGCCCAGGTGTAGTGGAATACTATCTTCAAAGTACTGTCGGAAGTTACCTGTCAAGCTAGAAATCTATAACTTTTAAACTATCATTCAAGAATGCAGGTGAAATGAAGACATCTTCAGACATCTTCAGACTTAAAGGCAAACATTCAGTGGTTGCTGCTGAAAGAATTGTGAGAAAGTATTATGGAAAAAAATAAGAAATTGAACCCAGAAGGAAGGAGGGAAGCGCAGAAAACAATGATGGTCAAAGAAACACAGTGATAACTGAACAGACTCAGGGTGTGGATGTACAAGAGAGGCAAATTTCAGTGGAGATTTGAAAACAAGTTGGAATTCAAATAATGAAAGAACAGTAACATGTAAGACTCGAATCAGGAGACCAAAGATAAAGCACTCAACATGGTTTCTGTTTCTCATGGAAAAGCTATTGATTAACTTTAGATTTTGAAGTATGCTAGTTCATAACTTAATAATTATGTAAAGAGGAAAAGTAGAACACATACCTTCTAAACCCAGTTGAGGAGAAAAGAGGGGGATTTTTTTTAAAGCTGGTCAATCTAATAGAAGGAAGGAAAGTACAAAGAAAGAAGGAAGGGAATGGAGAAAGTTAAAATGGTAGGAAAAAATCCAAATATAGCACGATAAATGAAAACATTGAACTAAGCTGTTAAAATACAGAGACTCAGATTTTGTTTTTTAATCCAGCTTTTTGCTGTTTATAAGAGACATGTGTGAAACATTCATTATGTGGGAAGTTTGAAAATAAAGAACTTCAAATAAAAGGGCTTACTAGGCAAATTCTAAAGAGAGAGCAAAAGAAAAAAAGACAGGAAAGAAGAAGGTAGGGGAAGGAAATAAGGAAGAAACAATATGAAAGTCAGACAAAAATTTTAAGGCAAAAATATTAGGAATAAAGATGGTGTTAGTGATTAAAAGGGAAAAAAGCTTACAATACAATGGGTAAAGAGATGGAGAGACATATCATCAAAGAAGAAACCCAAATGATCAGAAAACTTTTGAAACAATGTTCAGCCTACTGCTGATAATGGAGATTCAAATAAAAGCAACAATGGGGCTATCCTTTGAACCCCCATCAGATAGCAAAAAATGTTTAATTGGATAATGACAAGTTTGGTGGAGATGTGGAATAAAAGGATGCTCTCATCTCCTACTGGTTGGAATGAAAGCAGCAGATGTGCACAAATCTGTGACTCAGCAGTTCAGTTATCATTCTGGATCCTACAGAAATGCACAGGGATGTCCCCTTGGTCATGTGTAATAGCAGTAAAGAGGAAACAACCCAAGTGCCCATCAGCAGTGGAATGGATACATCTCAGAATTACTACATTGAATAAGTTGCAGGTGGATGTGCCTATCTAATTTCAAATTTACATAAAAGAAAGCAGTACTGTACATTGTGTTTATAGATAAATATGTGTGTAGTAAAATATACACATCTGAGAGGAAATGATCATCAGCCAAGGTGGGTGTGTTCCTTCATAAGTAAGGAAGATGAATGGGGTCCAGGAAGAAGACAGAGTGGGACTTAACTCTGTCATGTTAAATGTTCAATGAACTCAAGCAAATATAGCAAACATATTAGCATTTATTCACATTGTTAATTCCGGATAGTAGATGCATAGGCTGTTTCTGTTATTCTCTCTCTTTCTCTCTCTCTCTTTCTCTGTGTTTAAAATATAATCTTAATTAAAAATAGCTTCCAGCATATAATGGGAGAGGAAAGACAGAATAATAATAATGAAAACCAAAATGTTCTGTGTTGCATGATGGGTTCCTTACAGACGGCTTTTAGAGTTGAGATGAGAGAGATTTCTGCCAGTGGAACCCAAGACTGCATCCTAGTCGAGTTATCAGAGTTGCTTTTCTACAGGTTCCCACCTTGCCGTCACTCACTCATACACATGTGTCTGCCATCGTAGCCTCTTTTTCTCTTTCTTTGGACTTTACCAAATCCTTTCCCATTCTTCACTAGTAATTTCTTCCACTAATTACATTCTGGTCATTATAAAGCAGTAGTTTACTCAGGGCTTCCCCAAAGATTTATTACTATGAGGCAAAAGTCTAAAAAAACGAAGAGATGTCTTGCTTCTCATGGAAAGAGGAAATAATGACTTCTGTTGTAATATGACATGGACTTTTATGGAAACATTTGGATTTAGTGGAGGGAGAGAATTGTTTGGTTGTTTGAGTGGAAACATATATATATATATATATATATATTATATATATATATATATATATATATATATATATATATATAGAGAGAGAGAGAGAGAGAGAGAGAGAGAGAGAGAGAGAGAGAGAGGAGAGAGAGAGAGAGACAAACTCCCATACTGTTTTCTCCCTTTATCTGAGAAACTCCAGTTGAGGTTCTCACCTTTTAAACTTTTGTCTGTTTTCCCTTTTTAGATGTGCTCTTGCAGATAGTAAACAAACATATATCATGGCCTCTGTAGGATGGATCCAACTGGAAAAAGATTCGGTCATCGCTGTCCTATATTCATAGCACCTAGCACAGCCCTTGCAGGTAGCAGGTACTTGGTATCTGGCTGGAAAGGAACAGGAGTCTAAGGGCTTCTCTGCTCTGTGGCTGATCTCACTCTACACACACCACAGTCACTCATTATTACAGGGCACAAAATAAAACAGCGGCAGACTTGGAGAAAGGTTGCTTTCCGTGCCTCTGACACATTCTTGCAGGGTACTAGTAAATAGCATGGCAGTGTTTTCTAGAAGCACTTTACCAGTCATACCACTCACTGGGAAAGCAACCCAACTTATCTTTAAAATACACATCTGCTTCACAATTTTTTTAATTGTTAAAAGTAATCTTTTATTGACGTTTAAAGCAATGGTTGATGACCTACCCCGCCATCTTAACCGGAAGCCCCACCTCTGCTCCGTGTTGAAGCCAAAAGGGAGACTCGGACTCGGATCTCTTCATAGGCTGCCTTGGGCTGCCAATCTGGGCTTGATAATGAGCCTTGCTTTCTCAGACATTTTTTTTTTCTTTTCCTTTGCAGAGAGAAGATGCATCAGTCTGCCATGTATGAACTATGCCAGGGGATGCACCAAATCAGCCTTCAGTTCGTTCGACTGCAGCTCACCTTTGAAGAATACACCATCATGAAGGTTTTGCTGCTGCTAAGCACAAGTAAATTGATGCCCACCCTGGCACATTTGTACATTGTCAGATCATCTCCCCTTTAGAGAGCAGCCTATTTAGAATGTCAGGTAGTTGGTATAAAAAGAAAAAAAAATTTGAGGAGGTGGGAGGACAGCTTTGGTCTTTGATTAACTAAGTTACCTGCAAATACTGAAGCTTGGGGTATATGAAAGAGCACATCCTTTCCTTCCTTCATCCATCTGACTACTAGATATTCATTAAGTGTGTGTTAAGTGTACAGTAGGATTGGGCAACTCAGGCTCTACAGGGGTGAATGAAGCACAGTCTCAATCCTCAGGGACTTTTACTGTATGATAAATTCAGACATGATTTTAATACATTGTGGAAAGGGATTGTGTAGTATGATAGAGATAAAGAATGTCATGGCGGCTCAAAGACAGAAAGAGCGTGTTCAGTTCTGGGGATCAGGGAGGGGTTCACCATGAAGTGGAATCCTGGAGAGCTTTGCAAGGGTTCTGAATGGAATATGAGTTGCAAGATGCTATTCCTGTCAGGGAACAGTGTGAGTGAGTATGGATATGCAGGAAAGCATATCTAGGCAAGAACATTTAGCTCTGGGGAGTTGTTTTGCCTGTTAGTTTAAATGTTTTTTATTGTATTTACGTATTCATTTAATTTTTTAAGGTGCATCAGGCTATGTTGGGTTGGGGAGGAGTGGGGGATAATGTTGGGATGTAGATTGCACCTGAATATTCAAAACCTATTGAAGACATCTGGCCTTTGTTAGGCGGACAGAGGAGTGTAACACTGATGCTTTGAGCAGTGGAGTGACATGATCAGAGCTGTATTTGTTGGCTTTATGAAGATATATCTCTTAGGAGACTAAAGCAGAAAGAGAAGGGGAGGGAGAGAGGCACAGACAGACAGAATTTTTCTTGGCTGGAAGCACAGAGACCTGTGAGGCTGTTGAAATAATGGCCTGGATGATAATGGTTGGTTGTATGATGCATAGGAGCAAACGCATCCAAGAAATCCTGCAGCTGACAGGAAGGGGAAATGAAAATGGTACGGATCGGAAGGGACACAGGCTTTGAGCACAGACGAATGACTAGGATGGTGATGATACTGTTAAGGGAAATAATTCTAGTATTGGGCCTCGGAGTAGATTTTGTGGAGTAGAAAATGAGTTTTATTTTTGGATAGGTTCCATTTTAGATGGATCCTAATAGGCCAAACCATGGAGAAAATCGGGGACTGGGATGCAGAAGACATTTTGGGTGTGGAGATGGAACCTTGAAATTATCTTTATGGAAAATTGTAGTCTAAGTCTACAGTTGGTGAGTGGGGTTGCCATGGCACAGGAAGAAGAGGACAGAGCCAGTTGAACTACATGAAAGGAGATGGCAGAGGCTGAAGGGACAGAGACAGAACGGTCAGAGAGGGAGCATGTACAGTGACGGAAGCCAAGAGCTGGTTTCCAAAAGGGGCGTGACTAACAGCATAGCTTGCACAGAGGAAGCTGAGAATGCTGAGAGATGCCTGCTGGAGTTGACCATTAGGCATCGTGCAGGTGCCAGATGGCCAGGGACTTGCAGATGGATTGGAAGCATTTTTAGGCTTCTGGAACCAAGTATGAAAGGAGAGAGCTGATGGCCTAAGGCACCACAAGAGACAAGGGAGGACTCGATTAGCCTTGGCAAGGATGTTAACACCTCTTCCCCACACAGTGGGACAGGAGATTTCTGAGGAAGCTCACATCAGATGAGGGTGAGACCCTGGATCATGGCAGGAGACAGCCTGGAGAGGAAATCTCTCATCCAGGTGCTGTGGCCACACAGGAAACTGAGAAAGGTTTGGGACACCAAGGACGCCAGGACGAGTGGCATAAACTTCAGAGGAGTGGTGGTTGAGTGACCACCTGGAAGCAGAAAAGCACTGACATCGAGTGTGTGCCCGGCCCTCTCTTGGTTCGTGAATCGGGGGCTTGGGCAAAGGGACAGTTTTCAGTAGGGTCATTTAGAAGAAAGTGGCATCTATAGCCAAGGTAATGAGGAGAGAATGGATAAGAGAAGATGTCCTTTCCAGCAGAGGGAGTGGGTCTGAGGAAGAGCCTGAATCAGAGCAGGCAGGGGGCGCAGTGGTGACTGCGGATCAGAACCTGCTTCACGTATGTTTAGCACCTCACCGTTTTTGAAGTGTTTTCTATATAATATCTTATTTCATGCTTAAAACAACCCTATGAGTTTGATAGCCCTATTCTGAAGTTGACAAAACAGAGGCACACAAGTGTCATTTGTCCCATACCCTTTGTGAGTTAGTTAGGAGTTAGGACTCAGACCCGGGCTTTGGACTTCGCATCCAGGGTTGTCCCCCTCTCCCAGGAGCAGGGAGCAAGGGGTGCAGAGGCAGGCTGGGGGCACATGACAGCAGCAGGGACAGTGGACTGGTGAGCAGGCTGGGTCTGGACTCCACCAGAGGGGGCCAACCCGCAGCCCTGGCAGGGGGGGTGGGACCAGCACTTCACAGCTGTGTTTTGTTTGGCCGCCACAGCGTTTTTAGGTTGCTTTAGAACTTTTATCTTGTTTTATTTTCATTGAATTTGATTGCCCAGGGCAGGGCATGTTCTCTTGCTTGCCACAGGCCCCACCATTCCTCACTATTTACACACAGCCGATCTCCTGTAGCGTTGTGTTTGTACCCACCCCACCCCCACCCCCACCCCTCACACACACACCAGCTAAAATTTGTTTCCAGGTTAAAAAAAAAATACTCTCCAGAAATTTGGTCAAAAGGATCAGGTANCCGCATTTGCAGGGTTAGTAGGACCAGGGTCCTTGTCCCTGCCCCACTCTTCCCCAAGGTGTCTGACGCTCTCAGTTCCTCCTTTTTCCTTTCTGGAATACAACTTTAGAAATATTATAGAACCTCGAAATTCAGTGACTGGTTATCTCATTCCCCTTTTCAACCTGTCATTAACCATTACTGGTTAGAAAAATGTAAAAAACAAACAAACAAACAAAATACACACACACACACACACACACACACACACACACACACACAAACACAAATGTATACATAAACATATACACACACTTATACACACACATACATATATATATATTTAAATTAAATATTTTTTCTAAAAATATATGTGATGCTAATTCTTTATAAATTTTATCTACTCAATCGGTATCTTACCCCTTTACATGCATTTAATCAGCCAGCCTATAATCAATTCCGATATAATTTTGAAGCTACCTGAATTAATTTATTAATTTCCAGGTACCTCAGTATACTTTCAATTCTGATTTTTGTAGATGCAAGAAAAGCAAACTAAAAGAGTAGAGAAGCATAAGAATTTTGTGAATCATAGAAACCGCAGGCTTTGGTAAGCTTCTTTTGCAAATCTGGGGTAGAATGCGTGAACATTTGTCTTCTTACTTCGGCTGTTCCGTTGCACACCTGATGTCCAGTGTGTCAGGAAAGTTTTTTAGCCGTGACATCAAGAGAGTTTTGGAGTCCGTGTGCTCGCTGAAGACGGCAGATGAGCTTCCACCCGGCTGTGTCTTCCCTCTTCTCCAGCCCATGGATTCTGGATGATTCCCAGCAGCCCTGCTGCATTTAATAAGTAAATTCAGAAAAGCTGGGCAGACCTCCAGAATCTGAGGTTTTGCTTAAGTTCTCTATTTGTGGGTTTGTTTAAACTTCTAAAGTATCTAGCTGGAAAATTGGTACACTATATTTCAGTCACAGCAGTAATATGTAAGTAGTATTTGACACAAGTTGTTCATAATTTGAGAATTTCTGATAACACAGCTTCAAAGAAATGGGGAGGTTTTGGTTAATCTTAGTAGATGTGCCAAATAGTATTAAAATATAATAGGGGAATGTCGTAACTTATTCTAATTTTAGGTAAAATTTTACTGTATAGAATGATACCCATAGTTAAAACTGAAAACCAAAAGATTTACACCATAAAATATTCTAACTTAAGAAAATCAAATGTTCACCTGTGGGTGGGCAGTGTAGGCTGTTATTTGCCAACTTCTAGTTTCTTTTAGAAAATTTTAGGTTAACATTAAATTTTTGGTAGAAAGTAGATCTACAGCTTTACTACTAACTTCCTGGTTATTACCGTCCTTGTTTAGTTGTGTGGGTTTTTTAAATACTTTTAAAACAAGGTTTTAATTAAAAAAAGAAAAAAAAAAGCCTGTCTTATGTAATGGATGGCATTTAACTCTTAATATGAATGTCAAATATTTGAAACCACAACTAATATTGTCGCAGCCTCAGGAATTTGTACAGTTGCTATTAGGGATTTATTTTTTCCGCACAAAAATAGACTTAGGCAAACCACAAATCAAAAGCCTCAACAATCAAACTCAAGGAGAAGATTATTAACATAATATGTGAAGTTAATTTGCAAGATAATCATATCTTTATAAGGGACCACAGGGTTTATTTGCAAACAGTGGTTTTCCTGGCTTCCAGGGATGCACATAATATTCAGAAACGTACTTAACATTCTAAAGTGCCGATGACCCAAGTCAATTATTATTTATACCAGCTATGATAAATTAACAAATATGCTGTGTAATTAAGTAAGAGCATTTTCAAACTCAGAGTGTTAATATCACAAGATGAATTTTCATTAGGTCTTTGTCTTCTAAAAATAAAGTGCTAAGGGATTTTATTTTTCAAAGTTAAAGCATAAGCATAACGGTTTATTGGCAGTAGTTGGAAAAAAAAAACATGTAACTAGATGTTCAAAGGGGATGCCTTTAGCTTACCCTCTGCCCTACACCTTCTGCCAGAATTGCAGGCACAGGCTTTCTCCATAAAGTGCTTTCACGCGTGTCCTGGGGGAAAAGGCTGTCCCTTCAGCAGGTCACAGAAGCACTCCATATGCTTCAAAGTCCTGAACCCAAAATTATTATTTCTAAGTGAGATTTTGTTTGTTTGTTTGTTTGTTTAAATATAAAAGCTAGTTACTACTTAAAAAGAAACATAATCCTTAATTTTTTACTTTACCAAAGATAAAGATGAACTTAGTTTATTCTCTTTTAAAGTTTTAGCTTTACCCTTGTATGCAGAGCCACCATTGCACACACAAACCAATCAGGTTGTCTGGGCGGTCATGTGATAGTGCCTCAGTTGTCATGTGATCTTGGAGCAAAGAGGATAGAAAGTGCTTCTTTGCATGCACATTCTCCCCTTGGTAGATTGCCAGTTTCCCCAATGTCTTTGATATTTGAACTTGACTATGAAGAACTTGCTTTCTAATTCCAGCCCCAGCTTAGATTGTCTGTGCCTCTTCCAGTTGTCCTGGAAAATCAAAGTATATTTTCCTACCTCTGAGGTGTTGGCAAGTTAGGATTTATCAAGCACTTTGATGACGGGCCACAAAGCAATGAAATGCTTTGGTTGAGAGGCAAGCTTTGCAAAGAGACCGGCCTAGGTTTCTATCCCTCCTCTGCTATTTATTTATTGTGTCCTTGGACAAGTGTTTTAAACCTTCAGGCCTCAGTTTCCTCATCTGTAAAATAAGAATAATATAATGGTTATGCCATAAGATTGATGTGAGGGTTAAGCGAGCTAATATATGCAAAGTATATAATAATATACACTCGATAAATACTAGCAGTTGTTATTCTTTTGCATTTGTATGTGTACACGAGTTTACCAGTAAGTCGCTGCCATGTTTATTGATAAATGCAATTCACTGAGATTCAGTATCAATCTAAAAGTAGAGCCTAAAACCTCAAACTCTTCTAGGCTATTTAACTGCTAAGATGCTAACGGTGTTTTCCATCCTGGGAATTCACATGTCTGTATCTGTATTCCTTCAACACAGTTCCAAAGGATGGCCTCAAAAGCCAGGTTGCATTTGAAGAAATGAGGACAAATTACATCAAAGAGCTGAGGAAGATGGTAACTAAGTGTCCCAACAGTTCTGGACAGAGCTGGCAGAGGTTCTACCAACTGACCAAGCTCCTGGACTCCATGCACGATGTAAGTAAAGCCCTTTGATGCCTCTTGTATGCAGGATCAACCACCACTCACTGTTGAGCAAGTGAAACTGGAGAGTTGAGCAAGAGTGCTCGGGGCTTTGGGGAAGAACAGAGGTAAGTTATCCAGTGGGAGGCAACAAGAAGTGAGAACTGCCTAGGAAGGAAATTGTTCTTCAGATGACCTTTGAAACGACCCTCATTTAAAATAAAGCGTATGGCTCTTTCCTTTTCTGAGCAGGACAAGGGAGATGTGCACCATGGTGGCAAAACCCCTGGGTCCAGGCCCGGGGAAGGCCCTCAGATGTGCTGCAGGTGTCAGATCAAGTTTCACATTTCTGCTTGCAATTTAGGAAATGTTTGGTTAGTAAAAATGTTTGCTTTAACATTGCATAAATAATGTCCATCTTCCACAACTGTTAATCTAATAACCCAATCTTTCAAAAACATTATTAGTGGTCTGGGGCCAGCTTGGATCATCTCAACCTTTGCCAAATTTTGAGTCCTATATTCACTGTTTTTCATAGGAGTCACCTTTCTTCTCTTAATGTAAATAATGAAAGTAAATTCTGAGCTGGGATCTAATTTAATCAGTTATAGATGTAGTCGAGGTGTTTGTTAGCAGTTTCTACACAATATCGATTTGGACAACTCGCTTCATTATGTCACTTAGCATATATTTCTTGTTTCACTTGGTAAGCATTTTCTCCAGTTGTGGCTCAGAAACAGTTGTAGGCAGTCATGCTAATTGAGTTCATCATGTTTGTGAGGTTTTCATACTTTCTTTTGGAAAATGTATTGTTCAGACTCAGCCCACAGATTTGTATGAGAAATTCTTCTTCAGCTATTTCTCTATGCTTAAGGAAAATGGTGCAGGCTTGATGACCAATATTATAATAGTATTACTGTTTAAATAATGGTTCATCCTTTAGAAATTTGTTTATGCCAGGGTAGGTTAATTGAAAAAAGAAATGTCACTTTCCAGTGGTTTGCACAGAAGACCCCTTGCACATGAGGTTGACCTCTGCTTTCTCTGAATTTCTCATATGGTAAGAGTCAAACTCCCACAAGGTGAATTCAGTGATAGTTTTGCTAATAATTATCAGTGGCCTAAAGACTGGTTTAATGAGAAACATTAGGAATAAAAGGTGATGGCAAACAAGACTTTGGGGAACACAGCAAATGATGTGCTCCCCAACTCACATGACAGGAAATAAAAGAAACTAGAGCCGGGAACTTAGATCACCTACATGAGAACAAGCGGTATCGTTACTTTCTTCTGCTAATGTTGTTGAAAGTCCTCCTTAGTGTAGCTTAGAATGGGGTTTTCTGGCTCTTTCTTGATGAATTCTCCTATTGGTTCAAATGTATGGGCAGGCACTGGTGCAGTATGAAAATGAGTATGGAATTGTCATCATACTACAACAGATGATGCCCTTTGAAGCAATTGGCATGTCGTGAGACCGACCGCAGAAGTTAAAACTTGTTTTTCGACAGCTTCCGGAATCTTTGTGCCTTAAGCCAAGTAGCACAGTGGAAACACTTAGGGGCCACTCCGGTTGTCCATGTGCCAGCTTGCTTAGGGACCAACACAGTGTTAGGCACAAGGTAGGGACTCGATGAACAGTTGCCCTATCATGATTTTCTGTAAAATCTGCTGGGGCAGATCAGTGCCTTCTTAGTATTTTTTTTAATCAAGGTATAATTTATACACAATAAGCTGAACATAGTCAAAGTGCATCAGCTGAGAAGACTGACACGTGTGCACACCCGTGAAACCACCATCACAGTCAAGGCAACAGACTCTTCATCACCTCAAAACTTCCCTTGTGCGCCTTTTTAACTTTTCCTCCTACCTGCTGCTCCCAACTTGCTGTCTATTGTATATTTCTTTCTGGCAACATAGATTCGTGTATGTATTCTAGAGTTTTGTCTGTTGCCAAGTTTATATATTCTAGAGTTATGCACTCTACTAATTATATGTTCTGGAGTTTCATGCACATGGAATCATGCAGTATGAAGTCTTTTCTGTCTGGCTTCCTTCGCATAGCAGAATTACCTTGAGATTCATCCATTGTATTGCAGATATCAATAGCTGGTTCCTACTCATTGCTGAGTAGCATCCACAGTACGGATCGTCCTCAATTTGGCGGTCTAGTCACTCATTGATGGGCATGTGGCTTGTTTCCAGATTGGGAACTCTTACAGATAAAGCTGCACTGAACATTTGTGTACAAGTCCTGGAATGGACGTTGCTCTCTCTTTCTTGGGTGGATAGTTACTAGTAGAATGCCTGGGTCATATGTTACATCTGTTTTCATTATTTATGAGCCTGCCAGACTGTTTTCCAAAGTGGTTGTACAGGTGGACATTCCCTTGACAAGTGTGTGCGAGTTCAGATTGTTCCACATCCTTGCTAACGCTTCATCTGACGAGTATTCCTAGTTTCAGCCACTGTAATGGTCACAAGGTGGTGTCTCACTGTGGTTTTAATTTGCATTTCCCTAGTGATTAATGAGCGTTTTATGCGTATTTTACCATCTTTATGTCTTCTTTGGTGTAATGTTTGTTCAGCATTTTTGCTCATTTTTTAAAAAAAATTGGACTGCTTGTTTTTAATTAGATGGTTCAGTTTTGAGAGTTCTGTATATATTCTACATATAATTATTTTATAAGATATATGATTTGCAAGTATTTTCTCTGTCTGTGGCTTCTCTTTTTATTCTCTTAACAATGTCTTTTGAAGAGCAGAGGTTTTCTATTTTAATGAAGTCCAGTCAATTCTTATTTTCTTTTATGAGTCATTTTTTTGGTGTTGTATCTAAGAAATCCTTGTGTAAGCCAATGTCACAGAGCTTTTCTCCTATGTTTTCTGTATTTTTCTAGTGATCACTGTCCTTCATTGATTGATATATAGTGTCTTGAAAACCATTTTTTCATGGGTTTTTTTTTTTTCCCTGAGAAGTTTTGGTTGTTTCTGGTGGAAAGATAAATCCAGTCCATCTTACTTTACTTTGGCTGGAAGGAGAACATTCTTTAGGGAATCATTTTAATTCTAAAAATCTTTATTTTGAATTATAAAAAAAAAAAGTTTGCTCTTCGAAGTAGCCTAACAGAAACATCTTGAAAGCTCTATTTATATTCCTTTTCCAGACTGAACATTGAAAAATGCATTGTAAGTCTAGAGGGACCTTTCTAACATTCGTGCTTACTCAGACTTGAGGCTGCCTACGGCTTTTTCATTAGAGTAAATTAATGAATCAACATTTGTGGAATTTTCTTCCAGAGAACAAAGAGCTACACAAGGACTGGCTCTGTACTTAGAGCCTAGTTCTGATCACCTTGTGAATAAAAGAGTATTTGTTCCTAAGGGTCACACAAACAAGAACCCTAGAATGTAAATCAAAGTTCTGCTTAAAAAGCGGGCATATTATGCCACGCCTCAGAACACATGTCCACAGAACACGGGACACACGTGCACAGCTCTTGAGACACATGTATATCGCTCTCAGGACATGGAAACTTCATTCATCGAGGTCAAGGACTATTTATGTTATGATCAGTGTGTAGAACAGTTAGTAAATGTTAAACGATATTAATAGTATTTCTTAAAGGCAAAAATTTCCCTTTTCTATTAAATAGCTTCAAGGTCATACATGACCTTGTAATCGACTTTACTCCAGTATGTACACTAGCAATAATGTGCCTCATGCCTATCAAAACTGAGGATACAAAATGAATGTACAACACCAACCCAACCCGCAAATAGCTTAGATTCTAGGGAGGCAGCTGAAGCACACTGCAAGGCAGAAGGTAGTCAGGTGCTGACAGTGGTTCTCAGGCGATGGGACTTTTGAGAGCACGTGTGAGCCCATTCATTTGTTCATTCATTCATCATTCATTCACTCATTCATCGATAAGCCCCTACCATGTTCTAAGGCCAGAGGCGCAGGTGTGAACAGAATGCCTGCCCTTAGGAATCCCTTGCGTCTGATGGCAGAGTGTGTTCATCTCATTCAGCAAATATTTTAGTGTCTAAAAGTGCCAGGCCATGTATGAGGAGCAAGAGACCCAAAGCCTGGCTTCCAGGAGCTTTCAGCCTGCTTGGGGCGACCAGGGCAGCGTGCAGAGAGCTCATGATGTCAGCACACCAGGAGTCGTAGGCTCACTCATGTTTATCCTGAGTTGATGGAAAGCCTTACTGAGAAGGTATATGGGCCAACTGTGCTAGACAGGAGTCACAGCGGGCTCCCAAAGGGGCGTCAGAGGGTCTTTATGTCATGGAAGAAGAGACAGTGGCTCAAAGAGTAATTTCTCAAGGCCCGTAGGTAGCCGGTGGCAGCTGGAACCCTCTTGACTAGATGTCCGGTGTGCCTGGCACCACCCTCATGATGAGGAGAACTTCAGGCTGATAGCAGCTTCAGGTTTTAAGCTGGTGCATCTTTGGGGATCAGAAAACTAGCACTGAGGAACATTAAACACAGCTGCACAGCTCTCCGGAGTCATTTGGATCTTCCCTGGAATCTTCTGGACTGCACTGTGTTTGTGAGGCACAGGTTACATCTTGAAGGCAGGGAACCTGGTGTTGTAGTAAAATGTCATGCACCTTTAGCAGTTCCCAAAACAAACTGTAAGGTCTGCCTCCACCTGAGCTGAGCAGGCTTCAGTGTGGAGACCCCCATCTCTGCATACGACCATGATACCCGGGTTCGAACTACATGTCGCCTGGGCAGGTACCAGCGTGTCCCTCAGACACTGTGGACACTGTCCTCTGCCTGACTGAGGGAAACTGTGAGGGTCGTTTTGCTGAGTAGCTGCTTTCTGTGGTTCCAGAGGGAATTCTGGACAACTAAAGTGGCTATTCTTTAGCCGGGCGCTCAGAGCCAAGGTTTCCTTCTGCCAGGGCTGGGAAGGGTAGACGGGGTGAGACGGGAACATCTGGTGACACAGTAACTGTTACACAAGCCCAAGGGGAAGGCTTCATTCTTTATGTGAGGAGGGCGT